GTCTGCACAAAGTAAATAATTATACTACCTCTTCTCAGAAATATAGACAGACCCTGAAGAAGGCTGGAGTGTACAACCGCTGAAACGTAGTGAATATGACAATAAAGATGAGGACAACAGTCTGCACAAAGTAAATAGTTACAATACCTCTTCTCAGAAATATAGACAGATCCTGAAGAAGGCTGGAGCGTACAACCGATGAAACGTCGTGAATATGACAATAAAGACGAGGACAACAGTCCGAAAAATGTAAATAGTGTAAATAGTTATAATACCTCATCTCAGAAATATAGACAGATCCTGAAGAAGCCCGTTGTGTACAACGGCCGAAACGTTGTGAATATGGCAATAAAGATGAGGACAACAGTGTGAACAAAGTAAATAGTTACAATACCCCTTCTCAGAAATATAGACAGATCCTGAAGAAAGCTGGAGTGTACAACCGCTGAAACGTCGTGAATATGACAATAAAGATGGGGACAACAGTCTGAACAATGTAAATAGTACAAATAGTTATAATATCTCATCTTAAAAATATAGTCAGATAAAAAATATAGCTGCTATATTTTACCTTTAATATTCTTATGTTATTGTTTACTAATTGTACATAAATCCTACATTGTTTTGAATAGAAAATATTATAAATCATTCTATAATAGTTGTCTTTGGTACTGGCGCCATTACTCACTAAATATGCTCCGTGATAATCATTCTCTTGAAGAGTGTTACAAATAACGCACTCCAATAAAAAAAATAAATTTCGATAATTGTTGCAGTCAATTTTTTTTCTTTTCGTCGCTTAATACAAGCTCCTAGAGTCACACAAGATTGTTGAGTGAAATTGTCATTGTGTGAACAGTAAAATTAATAATCAAGAGGTGCAAAATGCAACCGGCACTTGTTAATTGGCAAGGTTAAATTTTGCTTCATGGCAATATTCAACCACATGTTGCCAGAGTGACACTTGTGAAGTTCACCGACTTAGGATATGAGAATTTGCCACACCTATCATATTTGCCTAATCTCTGGGCTACCGCATTTTCAAGCATCTTGACAATTTTTTTAAGCTGAAAGACATTCCGTTCTAAACAAGATTCAGAAACTGCATTCAAAGATTTCTTGGTGTCCAAACCTTTAGAGTTTTATCGTAAAGGCATAAATAACTCGAGAACACAAATGTATAGATTCTTATTTTGAATGATTTGAACACTGTCTATGTACATTAATTCAGGAAAAAAAAATTGATTCTAAAATCGGACATTATTTTCAAAGAACCTAGGCAATTCACTGTCTTCAAAAGAAATGTTTAAAAATCATTAAAGCTTTTGCAACAATTCCCAATAGCTGCTCCCAATCGATATAAAGATTGCATATATACATTGATCTATGTCAAAAAGGCCACGTCTGACATCGATGAATTTGATTTCCGATTAATAAAAAATGGCTGTCTGGAATTGATAGAGAGAGCAGTTGGGTCATGGGATTGGTTACACCTGAATGTTGGGACATAAACTTGATAGTGGGAATGGACAACTCAACACAGCCGAATGAGCGCTGGGACAACTCAGGACCGAGACAACTCAGCACCAGAAAAACATAACTTTTTTATCTCCGAATAAAAGTACCGTATTTGATGGCATGTAATTTGCACGAGTGTATAATACGCACACCAATTTCAACAGGGCAAATCAAGAAAAATTAGTAATTATAAAATTAGTAAACCTACATAAGGTATATAAGACGCAAGGGAATTTTGAAAGATATATATGCCGTCAAATACGGTAATTTATTAAAAATTAAGACCTTAACGAATATCAATCTTTAAATAAGGCATTTGAAAAAGCATTATGTAAAATATGAACCGGTTTTTGGTTTTTAATTATTTTTAATAAAGTAGATTATTAAATTGTTTTTTTTTTATAAAAATATTTTAGAATTTCGAATTACTTTAATAAGAATAAAATTAAATACAGTAACGCTAGAATAAAAGCTGATCGATTAGAATATACTGCCACTTTTTCCCATGTAATAAGACGTTTATTATTATTTCTACAAATGATACTAGATTTTCAAGCATCTTCACAATTTATTTATTCCGAAAGACATTTCGTTATAAAGAAGATTCAGAAACTACATTCAAAGATTTCTTGGCGTCCAAACCTTTAGAATTCAATCGTAAAGGTGATCAGGCTTTGCCACAATTGAAACTGAAATTGGGTAGACGGAACCCTTGTGGGCCGTCGATAGCTGTGCTAGCACGAAGTCACAAGTCATCGTGACCGAGGGAATGAGTGTGGTGGCGTTGTTCAGATTGTGTGCTATGTCAGATAACACGCTCTCTACCAGAAACTGTAACTAGGGTCTGCTCAGCATAATTGAAGTATAAACCAGAGGTTGGCTTTGTGTGTGTTGAACAAACACAAATTTGCCTGAGCAAGTGTCTGCAATAGGGATTGCCTAGCAGCATAAGTAAACGGGCATACCGTAAAACAAAACAAAAGAAAACAAATTATCTCTTTCGTTGAATATTAAACAAATTAATAACAAAACAGAAAAAAATATGTCTGACGCGTTTAGGACTTCATTGGACTAAAGTAAGATTTTTGTTGATGGAATTACATATGTTTAGGAAGAGGAGGGAAATATTAAATAGATGCAAGCGTTATTTATAATTATATATAGACAGAAAACGCAGAAAGTGTTGAAACGCTTACATTTTAATTTTTTTTTTTTTTTAGATGTGTCTGGGTATATAAGTTTATGGTCTACAGTAATCTCAACTCTCTAGTTCGCCTGTGAGATAGGGGTAATCTACCGAGGAGACATACGCAAACATAAAAGATTCCATCAAATGAAACTTTGTTGTCCGGATCAAAAACAAGGAAGTTTTCCTCCGTGCAAAGATGGAGAAACTAAAAACTATCATGTCTTGCCTCCGAGTTCCATGGGCCAGACATCCGGCTACCAAAACAAATCCTCTTCTCGGAGCTCGCATCTTGTAAAATATTACCAGCAATACATTTTTGAAAAAAAAAAAAAATGACCAGCAATACATTAAAAAAATAATTGCCAGCAATATATTTTTGCAAATTTTACCTCAATGAAACCTGATCTACAAACTGATTATATATTCTATTCATACGAACCTATCCTAAAAAATCTTGCCGGAATTAAATTATCCATTGATATCGATATGCCGTAAAACAATATTAACCAAACCATAACTTCTTTTTTCATTGAAACTTATTTATTTTTCTTTTCATTTCCTTTTCTAACAATCCTCTTTTCCAAACTTATTTATTTTTCCTTCTTTACTTTCTTCATACATTCATCAAAAAATTCTTCGTTTTTTTTAATTTTGTCTGCAAAACTTATATGTTTACTTCTTCGCCTTAATTTTTTGTTACCATTTTTTTTCCTATTATGTAACGTAACACCAACGCCTTTCAGTCTAATTCTTATCTTCGAATAACAACGTTTCAGTCATTGTGTCCTCCGGCCTTCCTCAGGTGTAAATTGATCTGAGTAACCGACAGTGAATTATGAACTGAACCCTTTTCTCATATACGAGATAGACTGTTCTCGTTCTACTGCTCATGTCTTGGGATATGTTGTCCTACTTCTTTATTTATTATTGTTCAGTTTTGCTTGCCCGTTTCCACTGAGAACATGTAACCCTGAATAGTGGAACGAGAACGTTTGATATTAACTATTCTCAAAAATATCAACCTCAATGGGTTGATATGCAAAATATTTTTTTATTGCTGCTATTTTTTTTTTCAAAAATGTATTACTGCTAATATATTTTTCAAAAAATGTACTGCTTGTAATATTTTTTCTTCAAAAATGTATTCATGGTAATTTTTTTCAAAATATATTGCTGGTATTAAAACCTACTTTTATACTTTCCTGTATCCCTGGTAATATTTATTTTCAAAATGTATTGATAGTAATAATGTATTGCTGGTAATAATTTTTTCTTCAAAAATTCCAAAATATATTGCTTCTATTAAAGCATATTTTTACACATTTTGATACCATTTTGGGCGTTAATTATTTGACCATAGCTGGGACTCTAACAGGTGCTACCACCCCGGGTCAGGTTAGATCTGGGAACACCAGCAATTAAGAGGTGGTTCCACGCTCCTCAAAACCTCCTGATCAGAGGCCTTGCTGTCGGATGTAGTTTATCGTCTTACCCAGCACATGGATGTAGTTTATCGTCATACCCAGGGCGCCCTATGAACAGTGGAACTAGAACGTTTGATATTAGCTATATCTCATATTGTTTTAGAGGTGGTGCTGATGAATTTTATGTCAAGATTAGACAGTTTTTTTCTGTGGTTGCTGTTATGGAGCTGGTAGGTAGGACTATTTGGTTAATTTTGTTATGGCTGTCAGGATTATTGCTACTTGTGGGGTTTTATGTTTTTCGTCTTTGCTTCTGGGAACATTACATTTGGTGTTGGGCAGAAATAATTTTGTGTCTGAAGTGTCTAGGTGTTTTCCATGTATTCCTCTTCTTTGGACAGGAAATAATGGGAGCTACAGATTCTAAAGGCTCTTAACACAATTTATGGAAAACTGAGACCAATCTCTCTTAAGCTCAAACGAAAATGATTACAGATTGCCGGTCACTGCCAACGAGCAGACAGGGAAATCGTCTCATTCTTACTTCTATGGCATCCTTCTGGATGTGTTTTCTCACGAAAATTGACTTAGAATGAGACCCAGGTTCGATTCTCACCATATTCGATTTGTCAGAAAGGAGACTTCCTGATCTTATTTGACCTTTCGATCACAGCGTACGGCACCTTTGGAAAATGCCTGAAAATCATGCCACATGTTGACCATAGCTCGGGGCACAGGGTTAGACATTGGGGATCCGGGGCCAGCAATACAGGACTGAACAGGGAAAGAGAGTGTCAATGGAGTTCCGACTAACCAGAGGGAGGTTCGAAGGATGATGATGAGGATGATGAAGAGATATAAACCAATACAAGAGAGAGAGAGAGAGAGAGAGAGAGAGAGAGAGAGAGAGAGAGAGAGAATGAAAGAAAGAGATATAATTCAAGAAATGGAGGCGGGAAGTAGGAGATATGAGTTTAGCGGCCACCTCCATCAGCGGACAGCAAAATCGTATCATCCTTACTCCCATGGCATCTTTCTGGAAATGTCTTCTCACGAAAATTGGCTTTCACAGGCACTATAGCTAGGGACTCAGGCTTGGACATTGGTGATCTGGGGTCTGCTATACAGGACTGAACAGTGGGTAAAGAGATTATCAATGGAGTTCCGACCAACCAATGGGGGGATGTCGAAGGATGATGACGATGATGATGATCAAGAGATATGAACGAATACAAAAGAGAGAGAAAGAGAGAGAGAGAGAGGGAGGGAGAGAGTAAGAGAAAGAAAGAGATATAATTCAAGAAATTGGGGGGGGAGTAGATATGAGTTTAGCGGACACCTCCACCGAGCAGACAGGAAAATCGTCTCATCCTTACTTCTATGGCATCCTTCTGGAAGTGTCTTTTCACGAAACTTGGCTTTCCCAGGCACTATAGCCAGGGACTCAGGGTTTGACATTGGAGATCTGGGACAGAATGCAGAACCGAACAGTGGGGAGAGGGATTGTCAATGGAGTTGAAGCCGAAGGGGGATTCTGTTGGAATTAGAAAAGTCTACCCCAGTGGTCGAAATAAAGGGTTCAGTTCAACATTCCAACCACCTGAAGAAGGCCGGGGCGTACAACGGCCGAAACGTTGTAATAAATATGGCGACAAAGATGAGGACAATAGTCCGAATAATGTAAATAACGTCCCTTTCCCTTTTATTCTTTCTCCTCTTTCATGTGTATATTTATCTCATGTATTTTGATTTTCTTTCCTTGACAGATTGTGCAGAAGGTCACGTTCTAAGAAACGATGTCATTCGAAGGAATAAGATATTAGAGAATTTTAAGAATACTGGACTGAAAAATGTGGTATGACTAATAAAGAAATTAAAGCCTTATGCATTTTCTGTTCCGAAACAATCGTTTGTAGGACTTTTTCTGTAAAGAGACACTTTAAAAATATTCAGAAAAACTTGATCAATAAAATTGAAGAGGAGAAAAAGAAAATGAAATTCTTTTGAACTGAGCAAGATAAAAAGCGGGCTGTTACTTTTATGAACTTTATTTCATATAAGCCCAGTTCCAACTTAGTTGCCGCTAGTTTTGAGGTATCAAAATTTATTGCCCAAAATGAAAAGCCATAGAGTAATGGCGGGGGGTATATTAAAGAATCTTTGATAAGAAAGATTCAATCAGATCAAACATTTATCCAGAAATACCATAACATTTCAACTTGTGAAAACGACCAACATGCCAAGCTCTGTCAATTTAGGCTTGTTGCTGAAATCTCAAAGCCAACAAATATAGCTTCATTATTATTATCTGAAGCTTGATAAACTCTTTCAGTAATAATGCTTAATGCATCAGCAGTTGACCTAATTTGAAAAAAATAAGATTCTACAAGGCGAGATGCTTAATCATTTCAGAGTTGACTAGAATATCTAGTACAGGGGTGGGCAACACTTGGCATGCGTATTAAATATGGCAGACCGATGACTTGTTTCTGGCACCCAAAATTTATTCATTAGATTCCCTTTTTGACTTACTTTTATTCTTTCTCTTCTTTCACCTATATCATTATGCATTACAGATTGTGCAGAATGCCACGATCATTAGCTAAGAAATGATGTCATTCCAATGAAGAGGATATTAGAGAATTTAAAGAATATTGGACTGAAAAATGTGGTATGATTAATAAAGAAAATAACGACTTATGCATTTTCTGTTCCGAAGCAATAGCTTGTAGGATTCCTTCTGATAAGGGACAGTATGAACGCTTGTAGGACTCTTTCTGATAAGGGACAGTATGAACGCTTGTAGGACTCTTTCTGATAAGGGACAGTATGAACGCTTGTAGGACTCTTTCTGATAAGGGACAGTATGAACGCTTGTAGGACTCCTTCTGATAAGGGACAGTATGAACGCTTGTAGGACTCTTTCTGATAAGGGACAGTATGAACGCTTGTAGGACTCCTTCTGATAAGGGACAGTATGAACGCTTGTAGGACTCCTTCTGATAAGGGACAGTATGAACACTTTCTGATAAGGGACAGTGTGTGAACGCTTGTAGGACTCCTTCTCATAAGGACCGTATGAACGGACTTCCGATAAGGGACAGTCACTTCTGATAAGGGACTGATATGAACAGTTGAACGCTTGTAGGACTCCCTTCTGATAAGGGGACAGTATGAACGTTTGTAGGACTCTTTCTGATAAGGGACAGTATGAACGTTTGTAGGACTCTTTCTGATAAGGGACAGTATGAACGCTTGTAGGACTCTTCCTGATAAGGGACAGTATGAACGCTTGTCTTTCTGATAAGGGACAGTATGAACGCTTGTAGGACTCCTTCTGATAAGGGACAGTATGAACGCTTGTAGGACTCCTTCTGATAAGGGACAGTATGAACACTTGTAGGACTCCTTCTGATAAGGGACAGTATGAACGCTTGTAGGACTCTTTCTCATAAGGGACCGTATGAACGCTTGTAGGGACTCCTTCTGATAAGGGACCGTATGAACACTTGTAGGACTCCTTCTGATAAGGGACAGTATGAACGCTTGGATAAGGGACAGTATGAACGCTTGTAGGACTCTTTCTGATAGGGACTCCTTGTAGACTCTTTCTCATAAGGGACAGTATGAACGCTTGTAGGACTCTTTCTGATAAGGGACCGTATGAACACTTGTAGGACTCCTTCTGATAAGAACGACAGTATGAACGCTTGTAGGACTCCTTCTGATAAGGGACAGTATGAACGCTTGTAGGACTCTTTCTGATAAGGGACAGTATGAACGCTTGTAGGACTCTTTCTGATAAGGGACAGTATGAACGCTTGTAGGACCTCTTTCTGATAAGGGACAGTATGAACGCTTTTCAGGACTCTTTCTGATAAGGGACAGTATGAACGCTTGTAGGACTCCTTCTGATAAGGGACAGTATGAACGCTTGTAGGACTCTTTCTCATAAGGGACCGTATGAACGCTTGTAGGACTCCTTCTGATAAGGGACAGTATGAACACTTGTAGGACTCCTTCTGATAAGGGACAGTATGAACGCTTGTAGGACTCCTTCTGATAAGGGACAGTATGAACACTTGTAGGACTCCTTCTGATAAGGGACAGTATGAACGCTTGTAGGACTCTTTCTGATAAGGGACAGTATGAACGCTTGTAGGACTCCTTCTGATAAGGGACAGTATGAACGCTTGTAGGACTCTTTCTGATAAGGGACAGTATGAATGCTTGTAGGACTTCTTCTGATAAGGGACAGTATGAACGCTTGTAGGACTCTTTCTGATAAGGGACAGTATGAACGCTTGTAGGACTCCTTCTGATAAGGGACAGTATGAACGCTGAACTCCTTCTGATAAGGGACACTTGTAGGACCTTCTGATAGGACTATGAACTTTCTGATAAGGGACAGTATGAACGCTTGTAGGACTCTTTCTTCTGATAAGGGACAGTATGAACACTTGTATGACTCCTTCTGATAAGGGACAGTATGAACGCTTGTAGGACTCTTTCTGATAAGGGACAGTATGAACGTATTCAGAAGAACTTAGGCAATAAAACTGAAGAGGAACAAATAGAATTAATTTATCATGAACTGAGCACGACAAAAAAAAAACAGATTGATACTTACATGAACTTTCTTTCTTGTAGGGCAAGTTCCAACTTAGTTGCTGCTAGTTTTCAGGTTACAACAAATTTTGTGTGGAAAAATTTTGTCACAGCTTTGGATGGTTTAGGCACGCACTCTCAAACGGTTGTTTAAAATATCAATCAATTATTTGAAATTAAAATGAATAAATAAAAAAAATCAATTATATCATTCTTTACTTACATTTGTTATCTATTGTCAGTCATATGAACAATAAACGTATACAGTAATTAATAAGAAATATACATTTTAATTGCACGCTTCTTTTCATATGTATTTTATAAAAATGTTATTTTTTTACGTTTATTTCATTTTCTTATTAATGTTCTCATATTTGTTGTTGATGTCAAAGTTTCGGCCATTGTGTTCTTATCAGGTGTATATAGAATTGGGTAACCTACAGCACGTAGGCCAAATGGTTAGAATGTTCGAGAATGAGAGTCAGGTTCGATTCTCACCATATTCGATTTATCAGAAAGGAGACTTCCTGATGTTATCGGACGGGGGGTCGATCCCAGCGTGCGGCATCTTTGGAAATGCCTTAAAACCATACCACGTGTTGACCAAAGCCTTGTGAGTGAAATTGTGTAGACGAAAACCTTAGGGGCAGTCGATAGCCGTGCTAGAACGAAGTCACAATTCGTCGTGGCCGAGATCTTGAGCGCGCAAGAGTCGTTGAAATTGTTGATCACGCTAGATAACACACTCAGAAACTGTAATTAAGGTCTGCTCGGCATAGTTGTAGTATAAACCACAGGTGAACTCTGTGGGTGTTGAATAAACACAAAATGCGTCGGAGGGGTTGGCTAACCGCCCTTTTAGACGGGTATCATCGAATATGAATGGCCAGCTTCACATACATACATAACCTACAGAGACTGTTTCAGTTCCACTGAGATATTTAGGTTAGTTATAGTACTTTCAGTTATTGGTTGCCCTTCTTCTTCCACTGAGTCCAAGTGCACACTGCCTAGCCCAGGGATTGAACTCGCAATTACTATATCTCCAAATTCATGAACTAACACTTTTATCCACTAGGCTTTCTATAGTAAATTTGGAGCCTTAAACAAAACGGCCCGGCTGGTTAATGCTACTATTGTAGGTAACTCAGATCGATATACATCTGATGATGACCGGAAGGCAGTCGAAAGGTTGTGATAACAGCAACAAAGATGAGGATACTAACCCGTAAATTCTGACAGGAAAGATAGCATTGTAGTTGTAAGTGGGCAGACTTTGCCGCCTGGCAGCCAATGATTTTGGATCTAGCCGACCACTGGTTGAAAAAAACAAAATAAAAAGTAAAATGGTTGACTAAAGATAGAATCATACTTATTTTAAAATCCAGGTTGTGTGTGTCTGTACGTTTATATATTGGATCGGATTTCCTACATTTTTCTACCGATTTCAACAAAGCTTCACAGGACTACGTAAAATTACCTTGCGGTGGTTCTGACAGCGCCAAAAATTGGAAAAACACAATTGTTTTTGCACGAAATCAATTTGAAAACACGATTAAGAGGCATCGCGAGAATGAAGGTGGGACAACTCATATCGAGTTATACTTATTATGAAACCCAGGTTGTTTGTTTGTTTGTTTGTTTGTGTGTGTGTGTGTGTGTGTGTGTGTGTGTGTGTGTGTGCGTGTGTGTGTGTGTTCGTTTATATATGGGATCGGATTTCCTACATTTTTCAACCGATTTCAACAAAACATCACTTTTTTTTTGGCAGGTAGTGTTTCTTATTGTTTTGCACACTTTTTTCTTTACACTCAGAATGCTTTAAAAATTCCATTTACAAGACAATTGTTTATAATAAAATTCTATTCAATCGGTAGACTCATAACGATTGAAAACAATGTTTTTGTTTGAGTTTGGGTTTGACCAATTCGTAAAAAACAACAAAAAAAAATAATTAAGACATGCGTGTCCCTCAACCTTAAATAATAATCTTTGTCAATTTTATCTTTCAATCTTTATGATGGTCGATACTTGATCTATCTCTTACTGTTACATTCCCGGGCAACGCCCGGCTCTACTGCTAGTAATTAATAAAAATTGAAAGAAAGAGTCGGGAGGAGACGTATCAGTGATAAAAAAAAAAGAAAGTACAGAAAAAAATTGGCGAAAGGATAGAGGAGATCCAAATTGCAAAGGTGTGGAATTGATGTCTTGGAGAATAGTTGGTTAACGCTCTTGTTTATAAAAGAATAAAGACATTAAAATTGAAGAACGCGTTTGAGAAAGTTGCGAAGGGAAAATGGTGGCATGCCACAAATAACAAACAAATGAGGGCGTAGAAGGGAATGCAAACATTTGAAAAGATGGAGTTTCATCCAAAATAAGAAGCTAAGAATTTGTTTGCGGAAAGTGTGAAGATAGTAAAAAAGAAAAACGAAAGGAGAAGGCCATATATATATATATATATATATAAACGTCAATCTTTCATGAATCTCTCATGTACATTCATGGCGTATCAAATGTAAACAAATGACGTCACACATTATGAAATGGACAAAGTCCAACAATTATTTCAAGACATTTTTCTGTTTAACATTCTTTTTATAGATACAAATATTTAAGTAAATGCTCTGTTTTATAATAAACAGTATTAAACAACATTTACCGGCCTGAATGTCCGAAAAATTTTCACAGAAAATATTCGTCCTCCGACAGGATTCGAACCTGTATCCTATACGGAACCGTCATTAAGCTTGACGTGCCTATACCGATTTGGCCACGAAGGAGCGATCGGTTGGCATTATATTATATATAAAGATTACTTAACTTTTAAATATCAATTTTTCCCCAGCTTCAAAGTTTCTTGGTAAAATTTCTGTTCTTCGGGGGGTTCTGGTTTTATTTCTCATTTTTTGAATTTATCTCACGTCTTTGCACACACACACACACACACACACACACACACACACACACACACACACACACACACACATATATAGGTCACGATGGGTAAATTGTCGTCATTCTATATTTTTAATTTTGTGCATGCGCCTTGTTTGTTTTTTATTTTGTCGACTGTACAGCATAGTAGGGTCAGTTGGGCACCATCTGGGAGAAAAAAAAACACACACCATGCCAAAATTCAGTCCGCCAGAAATATTAAAATGACATACGGTACTGCTTGTCATTCGCACTGGAAGTTCCAATACGGAGTGTTTGGGTGTCAATCCGAGGACAGTGCAGTTAATTCGGAAAGAGTTGGACGAGTCTAATGGTGATTACGAAGATACGGCTGAATTTTGAGAGAATACCTTTTTGCTAGGGGCTTGCAAATTTTCCACACCCCTTAGTATATTGGATTAGATACTATTCATCCGTAAAATGATTATTATAAAGGTATGAACTCATCATTCAGGACCGAAAGTATCTTTCAGGTGTGTAAAAAAAAAACATAAATAAAATAGGAAAAACAACATTAAACGGGCCAAATCAAAAAATGACTCTCGATTCTGTCTGTTCTAATGACATTAGTTTTCGCAGAGAATGGTGCCAGACGTCAAGTGACTGCCAGACCAATAAAATAATTTTATGTCAGAAACGATGAGTACTGTCAACAGATGCGCCAAAACAAACGTCTGATTATGTTCTTACTTTTAATGGTGAATACAAAGCTATTTTACTATTTATGGCATCACTTCTGTTTCCACATTTCCTTTGAGTAAGCGACGAGTTGGGATATCTGCAAAAAAAATGAGCTTCATACTAACTTAAAAAACAAAACAATATAGGGAACTTATATATATATATATATATATATATATATATATATATATATATATATAAAACAAATGTTTGGAGGTACAAAATTTATATATAGTTTTAAAAACAAGGAATGTATTGATTTTGATTTTAAAAGTCTCTAGGGCCCTTTCAGCTAACATCTCATCAGGAGACAATCGTTGGATCAACGAAAAGAATATTAACGACAATGAAGAGCAAAAAGAGGGGGGAAACACACTAAAATAACAAACAAGTGTATATACTTGTAACGAGGGGAGGGGAAATAATCGTGTAAATAAATTAGCGAGGGACAGTTAAAATAAAATATCCCCCAACAGATTCAGAGACTTTATAAATTCTTTCTGCCGGCAGAGAGAAGGTTTTCTTAATCTTATAGAGACCGATTCCAAAATCTTCAAATGATTGTTGGAATCGGCTGTATAAATAATTTTAAACCACTCTTTTTTAAACAACTTGGCGCAGGCTATATTCTCAACTAAATGTTGAGCAATAGCCGATTCCATATTCATGGGGGGAAGATAGCATATTCTGTCTATCTTACCAAGTCGTATTTTGGAAGGTACGTGCTGATTGATTCTAGTTTAATCGAATACGCATTAATCGAGGAATTTTCGTAGTGTCTTTTCCGAAAGAAACTCAATTATGCTATCTAATTAAGATATTAATATCAAAACGTTTTTTTTTTATTATTTTGGTTTCTTGGAAGTAACATCTATCAGTGTTTTAGTTATCAACGTATGGAGGCAGTAATCCTTGGTTTTATGTCGTTCACAAGTTCCCTAACATTAAATATGTCGAGGTTAAAATTGCTATATTCACATGGATGCATCTGCAAAATTTTAAATAAAAACTTGCCAACTTTGAAAAAAGATGATGTCAAAAGACGATGGAAATGGTGACACAGCACATTGGAAGAAAGTTCATTTGAAGAGAGAAAGATGACTTTCAAAATTTTAAGAGCGAAAACATTAAAGAAGACAATGTGTAGTATACATTAAAGTCGGTTTTGGATTGTGAAACCGTAGATAGATAGATAGATAGATAGATAGATAGATAGATAGATAGATAGATATGAAACGAACTGGGATAGATAGATAGATAGATAGATAGATAGATAGATAGATAGATAGATAGATAGATAGATAGATAGATATGAACGAACTGGGATAGATAGATAGATAGATAGATAGATAGATAGATAGATAGATAGATAGATAGATATGAACGAACTGAGATAGATAGATAGATAGATAGATAGATAGATAGATAGATAGATAGATAGATAGATAGATATAGAATAATAGATATAAACAGAGAGAGAAGTAGATATGAACACACTGAGATAGCTAGATAGATAGATATGGATAAACTGAGATTGATAAACAGTTAGATTGAAAGATAGATATGAAAAGGTGTATAAATAGATATATATGAACAGACTGAGATAGATAGATAGATAGATAGATAGATAGATAGATAGATAGATAGATAGATAGATAGATATGGACAGACTGAGATTGATAAACAGATAGATTGAAAGATAGATATGAAAAGGGGTATAAATAGATAGATATGAACAGACTGAGATAGATAGATAGATAGATAGATAGATAGATATGGATAAACTGAGATTGATAAACAGTTAGATTGAAAGATAGATATGAAAAGGTCTATAAATAGATATATATGAACAGACTGATATAGATAAATAGATAGATAGTTAGATAGATATGGACAGACTGAGATTGATAAATAGATCGTATGAAAGATAAATATGAAAAGGTGTATAAATAGATAGATATGGACAGACTGAGATAGATAGATAGATAGATAGATAGATAGATAGATAGAAACAAACAAACAAACAAAGCTGATGTGTGAGATATGAGCCGTCTGCGATTAATCGTGATATATGAGGAATACCTGAGGCCTTCGTAACCGAATGAATATTACCTGCAAACTTAAATTCCTGGAGTAATTCGGCGTGTTGTAATGGTTAGCAAACTTGTTTCGGTAGATTAATTACGATTGTGTAAATTCGATCCTCATTGAGTGTGCCATGTTATCGGACTTGGGCTACAAGTAAACTGCGCTTACTAAATCGCCATAAATTCCAGTCATCTTATCCTACCAGATACCACTAGTACTAGAATAAGCTTCCGAAAATTACCTGCGTTTTTTCGTTTCAAGCCTCGACGAAAATGACTCGTAATTTCTTAGCGAGCAGATTTCGATATAACAGTCTAACTTGAGCCATCATCATTAATTTAAGTAGCAGATTTCCGGTAGCAGGTGCAATCTGGGAGATTATACGCTTCACCGGAAGCTCTACCGCTATATTTTGCTATCACGAGCCGCCATCTTCTATTTCCGTTTTTCGGATAATTTCCTTTGTGTTTTTTTTTTTTTATTGAATTTTTTTTTATTTTTACTTTGTTTTTTTTTCCTAGTCGGTTTGGATTTTCCATGACCATGGGTGTGATTCAATGTTTTTTGCATTACCGGTACCAGACCTGGTATTTGCGTTTTAATTTATCCTCATTGGGTAATGATGGAATGTGTGGATGGATTCATCTGGATACAATACAGAAGCTTTACTCTTTTTTTTGTTGATAATTTGGGAACGAGTTAATCTGTTTTAGTGAGGATTAGTCGTTTCTAAAAGCTATAATTCCTGTCTGTTTGTTAATATTGTCAGACTCTCTGCAAGTCTGATTAAACTTCGAACAGCCTCAAACCCAGGCAAACAAATAACGAACATGGCCATCAAAAATATAAAATACATTTAAAACCAATTTTCCTATACTGAAACGGACAATTTCTGTGCGTAAAATGTTTAAAAATATATAAATTAAAAATAAAAACCGCTCAAATTTCTTTCTTTTTCCCTCCTAATGGACATACCAGGTGTAACAGCAAAATTGTCCATCCCCAAAGATGTTTAACATCTAAAAAAAAAACATTGAACAGTTTGAGGTTCTTTTTTCTAGGTTTTCAGATAATAAGTTTAGCCATCTTGATACGATTTGTTGCAAGAATCACTGAAAAACCATTTGAGTTATTCAACTAGAAAGAGAACAGGTTAAGATTATTTTGTGTCAGCCTCACTATGTCTTCCAAACTGAGCAATGGTGAGAGGAAAAAGATGATTCAGGCCTTCAGTAATGGTACCAAAATTCATACTCTGGCTCCTATCTTCAAAGTCCATTCAAGAACAATCAAGATAATGGTGAATAAGTTTTAAAAAGAAGGAACGGTAGAGAGTAAATCTATGCCAGGAGATAACAACAGGAAGAGGGATCATCATTTCGATTTAGAGTTAAAGAGATCAATTAGAAAAAATCCAGCTGAATCCATAAGACCTTTGTCATGTGAGAGAGGAGTTTCAACGATGACAGTCCAGAGTGTAGTAAAAAATGACCTGAAAATGAAATCGTACGTGAAACTTGTGAGGCATCTTATTACTTCAGAACAGAAATTTAGAAGGTTAGAGTGGGCGAAGATCATCTTAAATAAGGTGATATATATATATATATATATATATATATATATATATATATATATATATATATATTTTGAACTCAATTTCAATCCCTCATAAGCTTCGGATCCTTAGCTATGATTAGTTTATGATGAACATGTCATTTTCGTTTATGAGTGATTTCATCATGATTTTTCGAGAGTAATTATACATTCTTATTGCTCAAAGTGGAGTCCAATAGGGTTATAAAAACATCGAAGAATTCCAGTAAGATATCTTTAATCATTTCTAAGCTACACCGATTCAAAGCGTAATCTAACAATTGGACAATTTTGCTGTTACACATAAAATTCTTTTTTTTGTGTCGTGTTCCTTCAAAATATGGGCGTTCACGTCTCTCTACAACCTTCTGCCCTTTGTATCTTGGTAACGATTGTCCCTTTCCCAAGACTCCCACTTTCTGTTCATGAATCCATTCATACAAGATTATCAGGTAGCTGGATCGCTGTCTCCCCACGTGCCTTTTTTTTTAGCTTCATTATGTCTTGTGAGTATTAAATTCAAGTTCTCTTTCCAGCCGTCTCTTACTGTTTTTGCGTGTAAGAACCCTTTTTTGTTTCCATTTTCCATCTTAGTCACTTACATACTACATCCATGATATCCTCAGCATCCTCATGTAGAGCCACATTTCTGTTCCCTCTAGTTTTCTCTTCATCTGTAAGAAGATTATCTAGCATTCACTGGTTTGCAAGAGGATTTATATTACATAAGAGTTCAGAACTCTGTTCTTTCTTTTTATTCTTGATTCTTCGTACGTTGCTTATCTTTTAGCAGGCATATTTCTCAATTCTAATGAGTCTATTGAATTCTGTATCACATTTCCATAAAA